ATACCAATAGGATGATCTATAAAAGAACAAATTGATAAACTAGATTTCATCAAAATTTTAAATTTCTGCTCTTCAAAAGGCATTAAGAAAAAAAAAGACCAGCCATAAAATGAGAAAAATATTTGCAAACTGTATTTCTACTTTAATCCTGAATATGTAAAGAATGCTCAACACTCAATAATGAGAAAGCTAATAACCCTTTTTTAGATTTGAACAGATGATTCACCACTGAAGATACACAGTTTACAAATTAACACTGATAAAGTTTGTAAATTTTCCCTGATTCTGGGGAAGATTGAAGGGAAAAAGAGAAGGGGCCGGCAGAGGATGAGAAGGTTAGATAACATCACTAACTCAATGGACATGAATTTGAGCAAACTCTGGGAAACAGTGAAGGACAGAGGAGCCTGGCATGCTGCCAAGAGTCAGACACTCTTAGAAACTGAACAACACAACAAGTTAACACCAGAAATGCTCAATGTCATTAGCCATCAGGGAAAATGAAACTGCAACAAGGTGCCGCTATCAACCTATTAGAACGGCTACAAATAAAAGGATCGACCAAATCAAGCACGGATGAGGATGTGGGTCAATTCACACTCTGCTGGTGGGAATGTAAAATGGTATGACTGCTTTTGAAAAAGACCGGACAGTTTCTTAAAAAGTTAAACACATTCCTCACATATGATCTAGCCATTTCACTCCCCAAGAGAAATGAAAACACGTCCACACAAAGACCTGTATATAAATGTCCACAGCAGTTTTATTTGTGATAGCCCATAACAAGAAGCAATCCACACATGTCCATCAACAGGGGATGAGACATACAAACTATCGTTTCCAAACAATGGGGTTCTGTTCAGCTTTAAGTAGGAATGAAACTGGTTCACACAGCAACATGGATGAATCTCAAAATATTGATGCCGAGTGACAGAATGATTCCACTTACATAAGGCTGTAGAAAATGCAAACTAATCTACAGTGACAGAAAGCAGATCAGTGGTTTCCTGGAGACGAAGGGCAGTGCAGAGGGTAGGAGGGGGGACCCCAGAGGCGCATGAGGAGTCTGGGGGCCTGGACAGTTCATCGCTTCACTGTGGTGATGGCTTCACGGGTGCCCATGTATGTTCATCACTTGTCAAACTGGGCTTTACATCCATATAGTTGAATGTCAGCTTTACTCTGTAAGGCTGTTTTTAACATTCTGAGTAATGACATCAGTAAAATGGCAGAATGGGGACATCCAAAAAGCCTCTTATCCATAAAAGCAATGAGAACATTGGCAAAAATGATCGGAATCAACTGTTTCAGACCTCTGGAAATCAACCAAAGACTTGCAATGAGGAATGTTTATTCAAGAAAAACAGCTGAATCTCAGTAAGAACAGTGAGCTCTGTGGCATTTTAACTTGCCCTCTTCCCGTCTGCCTCCCCCACCTCCACAGTAGCCTTGAAAATCAATAGGCTGGCAGCTGGTAGAGGGGGTAGAAAGGAGGTGCTGCCCCCAAACATCAATTCCCAGAAGATCATCACAGTCTGACCTGCCTGGTGGTTCCCGAAGACCACACTTGCCAGGCCGTCTTCATCTGACTTGAGCTGAAGCTCACCCGATGGGAACAGCCATTTCCCCAAGGGCATTTTTTTCTTAATCAAAAGCAAGTGGTTAGGATTCTGGGCTTTTACTGCTATGACCTGGGTTCAATCCCTGATTGGGGAATTGAGATCCCACAAGACATGAGGCACTGCCAAAAAAGAAAAAAAAAAAACAAAACGAAAACAAACCAGAGGCAGTCATTTAATGTTGTAGCTGCCTAAGGCAGCCCATGATAACTGGGGCAAGAAAAAAACAAACAAACAAGCTTAACAGGAGACACTGGGGAGTGAGATGTCCGCAGGGAGATTTGGAAAGCTCCCATGTATTCTTAGGAGCCTGGAAGGCCATGAGCATGCCCAGCGCTGTGCATCTACTCCGTAAGGAGCTGATGAAGCCCTGCATTCTCACTTCTGGCCAACCTTCAGGCAGGAAGTGAAGGCTAAGGCAGAGTTGGCAGCTGCGGGCTGAGTGTTGAAGGTGCCCCAGCACACAGACACAGAGCCCCTCAGCAACGACTGGGACACATTGGTCAGCAGTTTAAGGAGCTCTCTGTCCAGCCACCAGCTGACCTCTAAGGTAGCTGAGGAGACATTTTAGTAGCTACACAGGACAAAGAACACAGACTTTACAGCTTAACTCAGAAAATCAGAAACAACCACCAAACTACAAATCTGACAACAACAAACCTTGGGGAGGGAAGAGAAACTGACTTACAGGGTTGCCCCATTGTACTATTTTAAATGTCCAGTTAAAAAACGAACGAGCAGAGACATATAAAGAAACAAAAAAGCATGTCCTATACACAGGGCACGAAGTAATCAATAGACACTGTCCCTGGTGCTGTCCAGACACTAAATTTACCAAAGATTTCAAGTTTGCTGTTTTAAATATATTCAAAGAACTGAAGGAAACCAAGTAAAAACACTGGAAGAGGGACTTCCCTGGTGGTCCAGTGGCTAAGACTCTGAGCTCCCAATGCAAGGGGAACTGGGTTCAGTCCCTGGTCGGGGAACTGGATACCACATGCCACAACATGTCACATGTCACAACTACATGTCACAACTGAAGACGTCACCCATCACAGCTGAAGACCCCACACGCCACAGCTGAAGACCCCACACGCCACAGCTGAAGACCCCACACATCACAGCTGAAGACCCCACATGCTGCAATGAAGACTGAAGATCCCATTTGCCTCAACTAGTACCTGGCTCAGCCAAATAAACAAATAAACATCTGTGGGGGGAGGGGAACTACAATATCACCAAATAAGGGCTATCAGCAAAGAGACATGAAAAGAGCCAGACGGGATTTCCGGAGTCGAAAAGCACAATAACTGAGATAGAAAATTCACTGGGGGTCTCACTAGCAGATTTGAGCAGCAGAAGAAAGAATCAGCAAACTTGAAGATAGGTGAGGAACAGAACAACAGAGGAAGAAAAGAAAGCAAAAGGAACAGAGCCTCAGAGACCTGTGGGACACCACTGGCACCCAAAATACACATCAAAGGGTCAAGAAAAAGAGAAGGAAGGAGCAGAGAGAATATTTGAAAAACTAATGACCTAAAACGTCTCAAATTTGATGAAAAACATTAATTTACACACTGTAGAAGCTTAACAAACTCTAAGTAGGATAAACTCAAAGGGATCCACATATCTGGATACATCACACTTCACTGTAGAAAATTCAAGACAAGGAACGATCTTAAAAGGAGCAGTAGAGAAGTAGGGAGCGAGAAAGACTGAAAGTTGATTTCTCATCAGAAGCCATGGAGATCACATTCACAGTGCTGGAAGACAGACTGCCCACCAAGAATTTCATGTACAGTAAAACCACCCTGCAAAGTGAAAGGGAAATTAAGACACCTAAATGGGGACTTCCTTGGCGGTCCAGTGGCTAGGATTTGGCACTGTGATTGCCATGGCTCTGCGTCCAGGCCTGGGCCACGGAATTGAGACCCTGCAAGCCTAGCGGTGGAGCAACAGTGACAACACAAGAGACACATAAACAAAATAACAATTCAGTGACAGAAAGAAATAATACATGCATTTATAAATACAGCATGCACAGAGTTTTAAATTTTAACAAAATGAATAAAAGTAAATAAAATCTGACAGAACCCATCACTAGCAAGCCTACCCTATAAGAAACACTAAAGAGAGGCCTTTGGGTTGAAATGGAAGGGCGCTAGATGGTCACTGGAATTGACATTAAAAAGGAAAGAACACTGGGGACTTGCCTGGTGGCCCAGTGGTTAAGACTCGTCACTCCCAGTGCAGAGGGCACGAGTTCGATCCCTGGTCAGCTGGCATGCAGCCTGGCACAGCCAAAAAGAAAGAAAAAAATTAAAGAACACTGGGAAAGGTAAAGATAAAAGATGGAACAAATATATATTTCCATTTACAATTTTAAGTAGTTAGAAACACAGTTTCCGAGCGACCCAGAAATTCCACTTCTAGGTGGAGATATACCTAAGAGACCAGAAACACAGAAAACCTTGTACAAAAATGTTCATTTCAATATTATGCATAATAGTCAGAAGGTGAAAACAACCCAAATGTCCATCAATGATAAAGGGGTAAACACAATGTGGTCCACCCAATGAAATATTACTTAGCCGTGAAAAGGACGTGTAACAGGTTGCAGGAGCCTTGAAAGTTTATGCTCAGGAAAGGAAGTCAGACTCAGAAAATCCCACCCTGTGTGAGTCCATTCATAGGAAACATCCAAATAGGGAAACCCACAGACGAAAATAGCAGAGCAGTGGCGGCAAGGCTGGGTGTGGGGGGAGAATGGAGGGGATGGCTGCTGAGCATGGTTTGTGTTTGCGTGTGTGCATGCATGCTCACTTCAGTCACGTCTGACTCTCGGCAATCCCATGGACTGTAGCCCACCGGGCTCCTCTGTCCATGGGATTCTTCAGGCAAGAATGCTGGAGTGGGCTGCCTTTTCCTCCTTTAAGGAATCTTTCCTGACCCAGGGATCGAACCCAGGTCTCCTGTGCCTCCTGCACTGCAGAAGAATCCTTTACTGCTGAGCTCCCAGGGAAGCCCGGGTGTGTGTTTGTGGTCATGGAAAGTTCTGGAACTAGAGAGGGGACGGTGTCCTTCATACAACAGTGTGCACGTGTGAAACGATGCTGAACGACGCTTTTAAAGGATGAATTGCAAGGTATGTGAATTATACCTCAATTTTTTTTTTAATTCTGAAAGAGAGGATTGTTTTAAAAGATGACAACGCTGGCTAAAAGGAGCACGAATGCCAATGCATGTCCGCTGTGCTCCAGAGCCAAGGGACGGGCCTGTGCCCACCTTTGGGGAGTACGCGCCCAGGGCCGCCAGAACCAAGGAGCTGCTGTCCTCTGCAGCTCTCAAGGAGCAGTCTGGGCTGTCCTGACCCCGACGCCCTCATGCCGTGGGTGCCCTGGCATCTTGCCGCAGCAGCTGCAGCTTCTTCTGGCCTTGGCTGGCCGCCAGCCCTCCCCCCTGCCTGTCCCTCAGAGGCCTAATCTGCTCACATCTGCCATTGATTCCTAACTCGAAGGATGCTGTGTTTACAGCGTGGTAAGCTGAGCAGACCGGAGGAGTCAACCTCGGGGTGGGGGAGGCGGGGTGCCGGGTGCGCCTGGCCCTCGGCTACTAGGCCTGTGTCCGCAGAGTCTGACCTGGGGCCCAGGGCCTGGCGTCAGGGTACGAGGAGGCATAGAGGCGGGAGGAGGGAGCCCGGCCAGGCTGCACCGCCGGGCAGAGGCAGCCTTCAGTCTCCTTGAACGTCTCCAGCAGCTGCTCGCTATAGACTCCCACATTTAACGCAGCCTCTGACTCTGAAATATTAGGGCCACCTGGCTCCCCTGTGCACCCGTCACCCCAGAAGGTATGAAGCTGGGGAGACCTAGAGGGTTTGGTTCTGTGATCCCTGCCCTCCTCTTCAAGGAGGTGCTAAGACAGGCGGGGGTCTGTGTGTCTGTCCACAGCCCTACCTGGCACACAGACTTCAGGACAGATGGATGTGACTCCTGCATTCATTCCTGCAGAGGTGGGAGGGTCATCCCCCATGTATCCAAGCATGCCAGCTCCCCTGCTGGGCTCGCTGAGACCCCACCAGGACACGCCAGTCAGTCTGTCAGGCTCAGGGCCAGAGATTGAGGCCTGAGAGCAGAGCAGCAGCCCAAGGTCCTGACCGCCCAGCTCAGCACCTGCCAGGACCACCTGCCCCTGCATGGGCCACTGCTGGTCTCTGAGATGCCTGCAGGAAGCCATCCCTGGGCCCCCAACTTTAGGAGCCTCCCCTCATGCCCTTGGGTGGATCTGGAGCTCTTCTTTCTGCAGACTGTGGGACAGGGGGAGATCTCAGGAGCCAGGGTTTCTGGACCCAGCTGAGCCATGAGCCAGCTGCATCCCCACAAGTCTTATCCCCTCCAGCCAGGCCACTTGGACAGGATGACCTTAGAGGCAGGTCTGGCTCCTGAGTGCCCCCCCCGCCCCAACCCACTCACTCTGGGCTTCCTGCCACCATATCACCATGCCTGCACCTGGCAGAGCCATTGGACCAGACGTCACAGGTCCCCCAAGTCCCAGAGCCGGTGCCAGCTCGCCCTCCTTAAGAGGCCAACTCAGAAACATGGCCTCTTCTAGGAAGACGAGCCAGGAGCTGGGATGGCTACTCTAGATGTGGAACCCACGGACCTGGCTCCTTATGTACAAGCCAAGGACAGTGGATGGCATGCCCCGGCTCCAAGCTATGGCCACTGGGCCTCTGGTCACATGGCTCCGGGCTCCGACTCCCGTGGGATCAGACTGTCCAGCACCAACTGGCAGAGGGGAGTCGCACCTGTTCTCCATGGCGGGAGTCTTACTTTCCCCAGGATGTCACGGAATGGGCTCCGACAGGAAGTGGGCTCTGGACTCTGGCTTCTTTCCCTTGGAAAAATGCACTGAAGTTTGGTCCGTGCCATGTGAAGGCCAGCGTGGTCCTTCCTGTCCTATGAACGACCCCACTGTGGGGACGTGGTGCCTGCTGGAGGCACCTGAGTTCTTCCCGCATTCTCATCCTTACAGAGGACGAGCTTCCAGTTCACCTGGGCAAGTGCATTAGCTTGATTGTGGACATGTACACCAGTGGGGACTAAATACCATCTTAAATGTGGAGAACTGTTGGAAGCCGGTCATCTCAGGGGAGCAGTGCCTACTGAGGCATGTGGCGGGGGTGGGGGTCCTGGGGCGGGGGCATCAGCCCAGAAGAGGAGCATGTACCAGGGAGCCCACCTGGGGACACCTGGCAAGGACAAGGAGGCAGGGACCAGGCCACAAGCCACCTTGGCCTGAGTGTACAGGTAGGCTGTGCTCAGGCTGTATCTGAGCTTTTGGCTCTGCCTTTCCACAAAGAATTTATAGAAAGATAGGCACACATTCCCAGACCAGGGCCTGAGATGCCTGCTGAGACCCTGCTCATGCCACTGCCCGCAAGACTGGGGCCGAGTGAGCGGGCAGCGGGCCCCGTTCTCTCTGCAGCATTGGAGGAAGCAGTTAGGGCCGCTTGGAGAGACTTTATTTCTTGGAAAACATCACAGCGCAGATCTGCTTGCTCTTGCAGTGTTTGCAAATATCATAGAATAATTGGAAATTACCCTTGCCTGGAAAAAATTTCACACAATCAACTCTCTCGCCAAGAACTTCTGGAGAAAGAAAGAAACAGGGGAAGTCCAGGCCATGCTCATCTGAAGATCCAGGGCCCGTGGCGGAGCTCCGGTTTCATATCGGTGCAATTTGAAAAACCCCGGTGCCTCTGGGCCACGGTCCCCTGAGATTGGAGCTATGTCTGGCCACCTTCCTGATTTCTGTGTGTGTCCTGGGAGTCAAAGTGGGCTGGATCACCCTGCGTCCCCAGCAGGCCCCAGATCTCACGACAGCCCCTCCACCACGCTCCCTGCCTGGGAGGATCGCCCAGGGAGTTACTCTAGAGCCAGAGCAGGAGAGAGCAGGACCCTGGTGACCATACAAGGGCCCTGAACACCTCTGCTTGGAAGTGAGACACTCTCTTCTGGGCCAAAGTAGGCTGATAGCCATGGCAGAGCAGACAGGAAATGTAGCCTGCAAGGAGGGGGCGCTGGGTGTCTGTGACAGCCCTAATCGCTTCAAGCTGAGGCCTCTGGGACACCCTGCTGCCCAAGAGAGGTTAGCACAGCACGGGGTCTGGACTCTCCCCACCAGGACCAGACAGAGAGGTGGGGGGCAGTGGCGGGAGAGACAGGGTGAGGGGGGCCTGGGTTCAGAGCAGCTCAACTTGAAAAGGCCAGATTGCCACCTGGAGAACAGTCCACAGGGGCAGGAAGCCACAGTGGACCCAGGAGAGAGGTGGGGTTTGAGGCTGATTGGTACCTGGAGGCCAGGGGTGGGGTCTCAGAGAGTCTGTGGTCACTCCCCAAAGCCTGTGGTCACTTCCCACGTGAAGGATGCTTCTGACCCTGAGCCTTAATGCAGCCGGGACATGGATGACCCAGAAGGAGCCCACAGAGCCACGGCCAACCCAGACCTGGACCCCAGCCCCCAGGGTCGCCCCCAGCACGTCCTCCCTCCTTTAGGAAAGTCCTCTTATGATGACCTCGCTGGGTGTCACACGTGGTGAGGACACACAGCCAAGATGCAGCTGTGCATGTACCGGCCACTCAGGGGCCCACCATGAGCCGGGAAATGTAACCGTGATGAGAAAAAGAGGAAGTATTGCCAAAATTCCAACAAGTCGATGGGAAATTAACTTATCAAAATGCCATTTAGGCACAGCTTTGCAGAAACACAGCTCAGAACTCGCTGGATGGATGCTTCCTCTTGGGTGCTTTTGTTCAAACTCCTCGTGGTCCTTCCCACCAGTGCGGCGCCAAACCCAGACCCTCCACCTCCAGGCCCCCGACGGGCGTGAAGCCTGCAGGCAGGAGACAGGTTGGCACCATGCATCCAGGGGTCCACCGGCCACAGTCTTGGGTCTCCCGCTGCTGCCCACATTGTGAGGGCGTCTGGAAAGTGAGGTCAACGTGGGCGGGAGCGACAGGGCTGCTCTTTCTGCCTGTCCTTGGCCTCTCATTGTCTCCAGCTTCAGTGCCGAAAGGAGACTGGCCCAGTGCCCCCCGCCCCCCTGGTCAAGGACAGTGGTGCCTGTGGGAGGGCTTCTAATCAACCGTGTCGACGAGGCCAAGCCTCGAAGCTGGCACTGGCCGGAGTCCCAGAGACCCTCCTGGTTCACCGGCCTGCAAGATTCCCGTGGTAATTCCCTCAGTCCTTAGGGGAAACCCCAGGATGCAAAGACGGGAATCAGAAAGCCACACACAATTAGGGCTGAAGAGATGAGTGGGGACCGGCCTGTGCAGGGCAGCTGGAGGGGCGGGGCGGGGAGGGCGGTGCAAAGTGGCAGGTTGTCTTTTTGTTGTTGTTCAGTTGCTAAGTTGTGTCCGACTCTGCAACCCCGTGGCAGGCCATCTACACCCACACAAACTCCCATCCCCTTCCGTGATCGTGCCGGAGAAAGTGGCCAGATGCTGTGGCATCCTGACACCCATGTCCAGCACCTGTGGACACTGGTTCAAATCCAACAAAACTGTATTTGTGATGTTTTTAAAGAAAAGAGCATTTGGGGTCACTGAAGTCAAGGGAGCATCGAGGGCCTCCTCAGGGTCTAAGAAACCCAATGAGAATCCAGAGAGAGGAGGTGCCCAGGGGCCTGAATGCCAGGCAGCTGGTCTCTTCCTGGGCAGGAGGGAACGTTGCCCAGCCCCGCCCCCACCACCACATCTGCAGGAGAGGGGGCGGTGGGGGGGGGCGGGAGGCTGGACTGAGAAGTCTCTTCTCAGATTTTAAACAATAAGAAGAAAGTGAGGAAGTTAAGGTTTAGTTTTTTAAAGATCTCTGCCCTATTTTCCGTTGTTGGCTGTTCTAAAGCAGCATTATCAAAATATGTTCACAAGACACTGGCCTCGTGAAATTTTCCCCCCAAATTAGAACACCAATTAGTTTGAGAATCCTGCTGCCACCCCCCCACCACTAGGTTCAGAGTTCACATTGGCCCATTAAAGGCACTGCTAAGTCTGCTGCAGGGCCTGTTTTCAACCTTGCCTAACTCTGCATCCCCCATACTAATTTGGCCAAAGAATCCATTTTTCACAGAACAGCTGATACTGACCCAGAGCTCCTGACACTGACCTTTGATGAAGTTGCATCAGAATAACAACACAGAAAGTGAGTCAGACAGGTCGTGGCCTCCTGATGGTGGCTTCCTTCAGAACAGGACTTTGAAACCTCCCTCATACGTGGACCACATGATGGCCATGTTTCTCCGCTTCTCTAGGCTCTGGGCTGGATGGTGCCCCTCCTCCCAGCAGAGAAAAGTGAACACCAAGTCTGGAAACACAGAAGACAGTCAGAGGAGGAAAGTGAAAGTGCTAATCGCTCAGTCATGTCTGACTGTATGCAACCCCGTGGACTGTAGCCCACCAGGCTCCTCTGTCCATGGAATTCTCCAGGCAAGAATACTGGAGTGGGTAGCCATTCACTTCTCCAGAGGATTTTCTCGACCTAAGAATCAACCCCTTGTCTCCTGCATTGCAGGCAGATTCTTTACAATCTGGGTCACCAGATTGTAGCCCCCCAAACAGCGTGAAGTGTGGCTACAGGAAGGCAGGGCCGTCAGTGGGCAGACGGACCAGGACACAGGGCCCTGCCGCATGCTGGGGGGGCCTGTGACACCCGTTCTGAGTGTCCCCGCCCTGAGTGGGTGGGCGCAGCCCTTGTGTGTGTGGTGGGCAGGGCTCGCAGAGCTGCTCAACAGTGGACGTGGCTCTTCTCACAGATGGGAGGGCTGGGGGGACCAACAAGGGTGGGGGGGTGAACCCAGCCCAGGACAGGCCCACAGGCAAGATGCCCCCCACCCGGCCCCTCTTCACATCAGACATTCAGCCTCTGTGACCCTAAACATTCCGGCAGCCCAGACATGCCAGCAGCCAGATGGGCAGGTGGGCAGCCAGTGCACCCCAAACCTGAGGTTGCTAACGCCCCTATCATGGGCTGAGCTGTGCCCCCAAAAGCTGATGGTGAAGCCTTCAACCCTAGGGACTCAGAACAGGGCTGTATTAGGAAATAGGGCCTTTAAAGGGTTAAAGGTTAAAACAGTATCATTTCACTAGGGGGGCACCCAGGCCTATAGGGATGGTGTTAGGGACGGTGTCCTCATAAGAAGAGGTGAGGATACAGACACCCACAGAGGGATGACCTGAGTTGCTTGTCTTGCATCATTAAGCCATTATGGTTTCTGCAGGCAGGGTGGGGGCCCCAGAGCTTGGGCCCCAGCTATTCGGTCCCAGCGCTGGGCTGTGTGGCCCCCACACCCTCAGCTGCGCCTCCAGCCTCATTCCAGTTGCTCCCTCACTCTCCCTCGGGTGATAAAGCAAAGGCCTTCTCTGAGATGCACCTGACTGGATACGAAATAGCTCAAGAGTCACTCGCCCAGTTCCAGCGGCGGCCCTCTCCCAGCCCCAAAACCAGCAGGAGGAGAGGAGGCAGCTGTCACCTCACCAGCGCCATGGTGTCAGTGAGTATGGAGACCACAGGTCCTCAGGAACGTGGCAGCCCATGGGCGGCGGGCACTGGGGAGGCTGCAGGGCCGTGTGGTCCAGCCCCTGCAGATCAGGGAAACGGGGGCTGAGGGGGGACATCCCCAAACACTCCTTTGGGGTGAGCTGCCCCCTCTGGGACCCTCATCTGCCCCTACAGCTTCCCCCAAGGAAGCCAAGGAGCACTTGGTGGGGCCCCCCTCCGGCCGGGACAGCTGGGGGTCTAATGGCCCCCACATCCAGGACCCTTGGGAAGCGGGGCCAGGTCAGCCCAGCCTTGAGTCAGCAAGTCCCCACGCCGTCTCCAGCCAGCTGGCCTGCACAGGGCAGCTCCGTGGAGAGGGAGCAGCGGAAGGTAGGTGGAGGGAGGCTGAGTGTCCCCACTGCTGCCAACATCCCACTCAGGGACACCTCTCACGGCCCTGGTCACACCCATGGGAGGCTGGGGCTGGGAGAGCCAGGGGCCGGCCCAGCCAGGTTTCCGGGCCTCATGGTCTTGGCATCGGATCACCTCTCCCATCTGCGGGGGCTGCAGGGGAAGGGCCCGACCACACCCAGAGCTGGCAGCACCCAGAGTGCCCGGGTGCTGGGGCCTTTCCAGCAGCCAGGAGAGGCCAGGCCCAATGCCCACGCGGAACCGGGGCATCTGAGCCTTGGGCACCCCCAGCCCTCTGCAGTGGCCCCTCCTCTGCGGCCTTGGGGTGGGCGTGGGTCCAGGGCACCAGGAGGGAGGCACCTGAGGCTGGCAGCGGCCAGAAGACTCAGGGCTGCAGTTCCCTGTGTCCCCGTCCCCAGGCCCCAGGCAGGGATTAGGGGTGCCTTCGAGTCCTGGAGAACCTCCCACAGCCTCCCACAGTTGCTGAGCCAGGGGCTGCAGCCTGCAGGGGCTTGGTCTGTTTGCGGCCAAACTGCCCCCAGTGGCTGCTCACCCAGGGCTGGCTCCTGACCCCCGCTGCCCTCTTCCTCCCCGACACCAGTGTGTCCTCAGGGACCTGCGGTTCCAGGCGGGAGGCAAGCATGCAGGGCTGACACCCCAGCTCCTAGCTCAGAGGCGAGATCCAGGTTACAGCATCGCCAAGTTCTCAGCTGCCGGCAAAGCTGAAAACCCAGACTAAAAATAAAAGGTGTTTCTCCCAGAGGCCGGGCCTGTGATGATGCCCCCAGCACAGAGAGATCCCGAGCTCCTCCAGGTCACACAGGGACGCGAGGAGAACTCACCCCCAACCCATCCGGGTTAGAGGCTGGGAGGCTTGGCCTCCAACCGCCCAGCGACTCCTGGCCTCTCCCGCATCCCCAGGGTCCACAGCCCGGCCTCCCCAGGAGCATCACTGGAGGGTGCTCTTTCTGACATTCACATGCTGGAAAAGGGGTCTCGCACCCACCGCACCTGAGACCTGGAAGAGGGCTCAGATCTGGATTTCTGTTTCCACCCAGCCCCAGGGAACCCATGCCTCTGGCCCAAGGTGGCCTGCACGCAGCCCCAGGGAACCCATGCCTCCGGCCCAAGGTGGCCTGCACGCATCTGCAAGCCACAGCCTTGGCCAGACTCCAGGGCCCCAAATCTCCTCCTTGACCATGAGTATTGGCCACCAGGCAGTCCCTGCCCCACCCCACCCCGCCCCCCACTGAGCCACCTGGCCCTGGGAGCTCAGTGTGTGCAGAGCACTTCGCTGTTTGCAGACCCTTGCTCACCCCTCCCATCTCTGTCTGGTGGGCAGAGCAGACGGTGCCCCCTGAGCCCACCCATGGGAGCCCTCCACCCCCTGGCTGCGTCAACCTGCCGAGGGCTGTGGCCTCAGCAGATGGCCTGGAGCTGAGTGGGGTGGCATGGGAACAGGTCAAATTCCAAGAAGCAGAGAGGGCTGCCTGGGCATAGCCTCCTCTTGACTCTCAGCAGGACTGAGGTTTAGATGGAAATCTGCACTTTTCTAAAGAATATTTTACACGAATCCTGCAGGATTTGGGTCAGGAGCCCCTGCTGCCTGAGGACATTGTCCTCATCCCTGTGAGGGGGTCAGGGGCGGGTGGGGGAGAGGCCACAGACCCACCTCTGAGGGCAAGTTCCCCTCCCCCATCAGGGCTGGGCTTGGAGGGGTGATGGAGGTGAGGCATCTCCAAGGAGCTTGCCTGGGGAGAGGGTGCCTGAGGCCAGCCCTGCAGGGACAGCTCCGCCCCCGACCAGAGACCCCAGACCCCCACAATGCATATTCACCAGCCCCTCCCAGAAGGCCCCAGGTCACAGTGGCAGCACCTGAAGTCTTGGGTCCCTGCTCTTCCTTTCTCCAGCCTAGAGCTGGCCCAGCCCCACTCCACCCCACCCACCCACCCACCCCCACCCCGCCTGCTCTGACCGGGTTGGGTCCCCAGACTCAGGCTGCAGGCTGCCATGCTCAGGGCCTTTGCACATGCAGAGGAGCCTCCCACAAGCTGGCTGGTGAGCTCAGGCCCTGGCGGCTCCAGCTGTCCCGGCTGTGGCCCCCAGCAGCTTCTTGTTTTCCTTCCTCTCCAGGGAGACAGGCTGTTCCTGCTGCTTCCAGAAAGTGTGTTTGTTATTTGTTCCTGGAAACACCATCTGATTAAACAGGCTCTGTCTGGACCTGCCAGTCAAAGGCAACGGCTCATGTGGGCCCCGCAAGGCAGATGGCGGGACCACTCCATCCTCCAGGTTGGGAGCAGCTCTAAACGGGGAAATGGCAGAGCCGGGGGACCCTTCCTCAGAGCATGGCTCCCCAGGCATCAACTGGCTGCAGAATCTCCCTCTGCAGGTCATCACCCCTTAAGCAAAGAGACACTGGGACCCAGGAGTTCAAGAACAAGCACACGCAAACATGTGTACATACACATGTGCAAGGGGCATATGTGTGAGCCCGCACGCACGTGAATACACTGTGCACACATTTGGACACACACATACAAGTATACATGAGCACTCGTGCACACACTCAGCGGCCCCAGTCTCAGCAGCAGGGCGCAGTTGTAGAAATATCAACTTAACACCTAATAAACAATTGAGCAGAAATGTAAATCATTAATAAAGTCTCATAAACAAAAGTCAAGTGGGAATTCTGTTTATAGCATGCAGGAATGCAGAATCACTGACTAAACACCCAGCCTCTTGTGCTTGACAGCCGCCCCCAGTCACCCCTCTTCCCCTTCCCAGATGTCCTGAGCCATCCCACCTACAGCCCATAGCCCTGGGGACACAGGCAGAGACCTGGCCCCTGTGCTCGAACAGATGGGGACCCTCAGGGAGGGCCCAGGTTTCCCCTGGGTCAGTCACTGGCTGGCCAAGACTCCCTCCAGAGTCTCGGAATCTCCAGGACTCTTCCTCTAAGGGCGGAAAAAACTCATCCCAGCCCAGGGGTCCTCTGGAGGCATCACCATAGGAAGAGTCCAGTGCTCATGATCACACGCACCTCACACCTCTTCATAGTACACGACCAGCAGGGGCTGACTGGTTCCCTCCACCGCACCTGGGGTTCCGTCATCCCCACGGTGTCCCATGGTGCCTGACATGTGCGTTTTGTAACCTGAGTGGTAGCTTGACATGCCACTGGGGATGGGGCAGGTATGGGGATGGGACAGGTACAGGGGAGGAGGCAGATGTGGGGATTGGACAGGTGTGGGGAGGAGGCAGGTGTGGGGAGGGGACAGGTATAGGGGAGGAGGCAGGTGTGGGGATGGGACAGGTGTGGGGATGGGACAGGTGTGGGGAGGGGACAGGTGTGGGGATGGGACAGGTGTGGGGAGGGGACAGGTGTGGGGATGGGACAGGTATAGGGGAGGAGGCAGGTGTGGGGATGGGACAGGTGTGGGGATGGGACAGGTGTGGGGAGGGGGCAGGTGTGGGGAGGGGACAGGTGTGGGTGCTAGGACAGGCATGGGGTCTGGGCAGGTGTGGGAGTCAGGAGAGGAGGAGGGGAGGTATGCACAGAGCCTACCTGGGTTCTGGAGCCTCTGGGCAGGGCTGGGATCCAGGGAAACCCCTTGGTCCCAGGAGAGGCACCGGAAGGGCAGTTGGGGGTGGGGGAGGGTGATGAGTGAGGCCAGGATGAAATCCCAGGAGACATGGGCAAGCAAGGGGCCTAGGGCCATGAGTGAGGACACCCTGAACAGGCCAGGCCCCAGGGTGGGCTTGGGGAGAGGAAGGAGGAGATGGGGGTGGGACTGGCCAGGGGTCAAGGGGCTTGTGCTGGACAGGAGCAGGGTCCTGCATGGACACACTGGCTGGGGCCTGGCTGGGCTGGGGAGCTTGGGGCTGCAACGCAGCCGGCTCCAGGGAAGGTCAAGGTCAGCCTCTGCCTTGTGGGGCCGAGGGTTGGCTGTGGTGGGACAGGGCTGGGCTCTGGCTGCCCAACCCGCCCCTCACTCAGGTGTCCAGGACTCTGGGGTATGAACTATCTGTCCCCACCTCACAAACTGCCCCAAAAGCAGCAGCTTCACTCGGCCACTCGCCTGGTCTCCAGGGTTTCTGGCTGCTCCACCTGAAGGTTGGAGGCCACGGGGTCTGTTTCTGGGACACGTGTTGGCCAAAGCCTCGCAGTGCATCTGCCCACAGCTTCCTGTCTCCTCCCACTGTGCTCCTCCCAGAGCCCCAGTGTGGACAGGGCTGCATGACTGTCAGCCCTGAAGCCACAGTGCCGTGGGGGCCATGCCAGCAGGCTCTCGTGAGCTGGTGATCCAGGCCTCAGGCTCCCCTCGGTGGAAGAGGGGCCTGGCCTCCCTGAGCCTCGGCGTCCTCTTACGTAACCCAGAACAACAGTGGCATTTACGTCGTGGGGCCAGAAGGAATCCAGGAAGATGGCACATGATGACCCTCGGTCCAGAGCTGGGTACGGAGAACACCCTGAGGCCACCTGTGTTATCTCCCATGGGCCGTGGTTCCTGAGGTGAGCCAGGGATGATGCCTGGCCCCATTTCACCCCTTTGACGCCACTATCAGTGAGGGCACTGTAGCAGCCCCTGGAACTAGGGGCCCCGGAGTCTTGACCGGCAGCAAAAACACTCCACGGCTCAGAGCGTGACCACCCCTGGGCTGAGGTCACACTCACATTTTTCAGGATGCGCATAGTGCAAATAAAACCAAAATATTATTACAAGGCTAAGTCCTGTTTTACAGCTGCCTTTAATATATGACGGTCTTGTTCAGCTTCGTACAAACAACTTTCCCTTTGCTCCAAGCAGCTGTGTGTCTCTGCCCGCGGCCCCAGAGACGGGCCGACGCCAAGCGGCAGAGGGAGAGAAACCACAGCAGGGATGAGGGTCCCCAGCCAAGGCCGCGCCCTCGATGCTCCCCTCAAGGGCTCCAGAGAGACTGCTGCTTCCTCCTCGGGGGCTCAGCCAGCTGAGTTTTGTTCTGGGGCACAGGTGGGAGAACAGTGCCTGGTTTCCTTCAGGACGGGGGCCCTATGTTGGGGGCAGGCTTTGTGGTTGTGGACTCCTAAGGCCCCTGGACACCTGACATCTGTAGTCGGCTGTCCCGGCAAGGATGGGCAGGGCGGCCGGGACTCACCCTGGTGTGGTGCCTGTGGGCACTAGCCGTGGGCTCAGGCCCCCAGTTCGGCTGGCCCACGAGGTGCCGTGGTCCTTCCCGGCCCCCGTGGCTCCTCAGGCCTCCAGACGCCTGGCCGTCGGAGCCCTGGCTCT